ATTTCGCAGTCCATGGGAGTCATAGTAAGAAACCATACCTAAGTTTAATAGGTAGATTAGGGGAGATCTTCCTGAATTCAGAGTCTTTATAAACAATGCTGATATTGGAAGGATAAACCATAGATGGTATAAGCACATAAACTGTTGGCATAATGTATCATTATCTGTGCACTGGCATAATACCATATTCACTTGTATACCACGTAGGCCCTTTCCCCAAAAATTGGGCCTCGAAAATTGGGCTGCATGTTTTAAGCAAAGAAGCTGATTTCCACACTGGGGTAGAGGCATAAGGATGTTGTAATGGATGCCAGAGTCAGTAGCTGTGAGAAGGTTAAAGGTTTAGCTGTAAGGAGAGATTGAATGACACTGGGCATGTCTACACAAGACACTTACTGCGCATAAGCCTAATAACACTGTGCAGTAGCGTGGCAATTAAAAGCCGTGCTAATAGCCCACTGTTCAGTGTTATTAGGCTAATGCACAGTAAGTATCAGAATAACCATGCGCTGGCACTATGCTGCAGTAACTCTAGTTACTGTGCATTTAGTTAGTACTTCATTAAGCAACTACTGAACTAAATGTGCAGTAACTAAGGTGTATTGATGAACATGTAGACAGTGTGGATTAGATTCTCTCCCTGATAATTGCTCTTGAAGTGTATTAAAGTTTGCTCTTCTCCATAGTGCAGAGAAAAAATGATGACGTGCTAGCAATATAGCAAGTGGCAAAATGTGAGCACATTCTAATACCAAGGTGACTCAGTGCTTTTCACAATCAAGCTATAAAGGGGTAAGTATCTTTGAAAGAATTGCAGCTGGTGACCATGAAGTCTACAAAGCAACTGAAATCTATTTCCAACAGTTAAGGCAAATCTATCACACTTATAGGGAAAAAGAAAGTCATAAGAAGAGTCTAATAGTCTTTTCTCATATATAGCATGCCTCTGTGTATGATACACATCTCTTTTTTGAAGGGCAGCTTAAAGAAGAAAAAAATCTTATTAAGCAGCAGCAGGTAGAGAGCTAGGCCTGACTGCAGCTGAATGGGGCCTATGGACAAATCCAGCACGCTGTGTCCAGGGCTACTATCATTTGAATTCTCTCCTGCTTAAGGTTCTTGCTGTTTCATATTGTGGTGGGACACTGAAAACCTCTTTTAACCCAGAGCAGTGATGGCTTTGGGAGTGGTTTGCTTGTCTTGGACCAGACCTGACCCAAAAGCCACCCTGACCCAACTGCCTGCCCCTGCTTTGGAAACCTTGGGTTCCTTGGGCCACAGTAGGGACAGGGGCTCTGGGGGAGGCAACCCAGGCTCAGATGCATCCTGTGTGTTGGGTCGGACCTCCAGGCCTGGGTTGCTCAGGCACAGGCAGAGGCAGGGAGGGGGAGTGTTAATTCATGCAGCCCTAGCCCTGCAAGCTGAGCTGCCCTGGGCTTGCTGGTGGGATGTGCTGGTGGGTGCCACAGCTCTCGGCAGGCCCCTCTGGGTGGGCAGAAAGTGCTGCAGCTTCTTCCACTGGTAGATACCAGCTGCGCCCTGCAGCGTTAGAGATGGGGTTGGGGGTCTCTTCCAGCAGCTTCTGTGTCTTCAGGCAGATTTCCTAGCTGCAGATTTCTCAGGTCCAACTGCTGACTGATCCCACACGCCATCCTGATTTGGTACATGGGACCATGTTATCAATCCTGCAAGGCTACCGGCAGGTCTAGAAATCTGGCAACAGGAGAGCGGCTCCCAGTTGCAGCAGTTAATACTGCCACCACTCCCCCGCTGTCACATTTCTGGAGCTGCAGGGATCTGTTTTTCTTGGATATAATGCATATCCCAATTTTTCCCAGCTGGTTTTGGGGAAAAAAGGTGCAGGTTATGTGCAAGAAAATATGGTACTACTGTATTTGGGTCCAGGGCTACTGAGGATTGAGATTTTAATTTTACATCCTGGGAAGCAACAGCCTTCTATTCCTCAGTTGTTTCGGTTTTGTCATCTGTTGCGAACCGTTCTTATATAGCTGAACTTCCTAAAATTCTTTGATGATCTTTGTATCATCAAATAACTCAGTTTAAACCTATGCTCGCAATATTCCAGGGCAGGTGTTGCTGCAGTTCCTGGATTCATCGCTGTACATATGATATAGGAGGGAGACAACATTTGCTCTGACTTCTGCAATCAGAGTAATTTAACCTGAGAAAAGCTAGATGACAACACAGTGGGTAAAATGCCAGTAGCCAATTTACAGTAGAACTCGATGTCATTTGGTCAGACCAATTTCAATCTCACCTCTCCTTCCTGATATACATAGTATATCAGTGACAAGGACTGATGGGAGGACATTTTCTGTCAATTAAGGACCAGTGAGTTGAGATCCTGAAGGGAGAACACAGTTAAGTTACCAAGATGATAATTGCAAGATTACTATTTCAGATGCAAAAAGACGAATCTGTTAATCATCTTATGTTAAAAAAAATCAAAATAAGCTGCACATTGTTCTGGATGTGGTGTCCTCGCACTTATGTGCATACAGCTAGAATGTCAGATCCTTCGGTGGGTTTTGAGTATTTTTCAGATTCAAATCACTTTATTATCCAATTTTCCAAATAGGAAGCATTTTTGTACTATGTGAAGCCCCAGAACCTGTCTAACCATCCTATTTAGGCAAGTATTTGTCAAGCAAAACAGGGATGTGATGTTGTTTAGGGAGTCTTTCATCTTGATGTTCTAGTTCTCTTTTAAGTTGTTTGGTCCTCTTGTCACTCTCCGGCTTGTAAATTGTTCTGCTGTCTGATTATAAGCTGCTCCCAGCCTTTGTTGGGAAGGGTGGCATATAAATTAAATGAATGAATAAATAAGTAAATAAATCTGCCGTACCTGTAGGAACACGAGTAAAGTTCAAGCTTTGAGGAGGGCAAGGATGTATTTGGGAAGGGGCATAGGAAGTTCAGACAAGTGATCCCAGATTAAAGTACTTATTTTAAAGTTTTCCCCAACTTTTCAAACCCTGCTGAAGTCTTTGTGACCCTCTGAACATTTCTTTCCTTGTGCCTTCTGCTAAGTTGTCTTTATTCTGCCTTACTCCTCTTCCTTCGACACTCAGAGAAACTCCAGCGCCCTAAATACACAATGATCTTGGATGCACTCCTTTCTTTCCATCTTCCTTCTACCTGCTTTAGCTCTTTGCTTTTATCTACTTCTGGTTTACTTTCTTTCTATTGGTGCCCTTTATCTTCCTTTATCTCACCAACATGCCATGTACATGGCCAAAAAATCTGAACCTGTGAATGAAAGGGAATATAATAAATAGAACTTCAAAGAAAAAATATATGATTTTCCATCAGTGCTTGGTGATGTATTTAATGACATTTTCTCTTTAATTTTGTTCCCACTGTCTACACTACCTTTTTCTGAAACCCTTTTCCCCATTCCTTAGGCCTCCATTTATAATTGTGATTTCTGGGTGAGATTGATTAAGGCAATGCAAAATTCAGTTGTTATGATAGGGATTTGTGTCAGAATATTTTAATTATAGTCACGGGATCCCACTGGCATGTACCTCTAGGATTTGCAGACATGGAAGTTATGCCTATTGTGCAAGATGTTTCTCATATCCATACTCTTCTGGTTATAAGTTGATTATAAGTTGATCCCACCTGCTCCCATTTTCAAAGTAAATGTTGCAAAAACGAATATTCCCTCTGAATATACATCAGTAGTTGCTGTTGCTTTTACAAACTCGCACACAAGAATCAAATGACCAAGAAAAGGATGGAAATGGCTAAATGGAGTAAAAATACTAAAATAAAAAACTGCAATGGAAACTTTCTAACTTTGTATTTGTAACGAACACACAGAAATACCATAATATAAAAGTCAAGGCAGTACGAGGCTTGATTATGGGTTCACCCTCCCATATAATTTGAGCGCAATTTTTACAGTCCTTCTAGAAGACGGAAAAGGGGACACTTGTAATCAGAACAATATGGTATTTGTATCGATGAGGACGAGGTTAAACAAAACTGCTCAGCAGGGTCAATCCGCCAGCGGTGGAGATCTGTGTAGGGTGGTTAGATTGCCTCCAGTTTCTGAGGCGATGTTGTACGTCTCTGAGATGTGTTTCTCCTAGGAGAAAGCCTTTTGTCCTGGAACTTGTGAAGTACGCCAGATAAAACATGCCAACACTTTTTCCTGTTACATTGGGATCTTGCCCTGTGTGTCTGTAAGCTAACAGCAGCTCATTTAACTTTAGTGCAAGTCTGTCCAGGGACAGACCTGTCATGTTCTCACTGGCCACCTGCTGGCAGAAGAGCAGTAAGACCGCTTGGAAGGATTATGTGTGTAAATGCAGCTATGCGGCTTCTGCTCTGATCAAAACCCAGGACAGTTAATCCCAGATCAAATGAGCTAGCTCTGGTATCCCAGTGCTGCACAGCACACCCCTGACATACCTTTAGAGACCCCCCAAGTATCAAAATAAGTCAATGGCAGATTGTTTTCTGAAGGCCACATCCCAGTCTTGCACAAGTCAATAACACACCTTATATTAATTTCATGGCAACTAGAATTTAAGTTGTTTTTTGTCCTTCTTGTTTTTAATGAATTGCACATGCAGCTGATATTGTTACTCAGGTGAAAATCAACAAAGGAAAGTATGGCTGGATGGCTTTAACTCAGTCCTTCATCTTCCCCACCCCACTTCTACCCCACCCACCCCACCCCACAGCGGGCAATAGTTAGGCAAGAAAGCACCCTTCAGCCAGCCAGGCTACCTGCATACTGAGTCGTTTGGGTTGGGGCCCGAAAGATATTGCTTGAGCCCATCTTAGTCATGACTGGTGAAACAAATAGATACAGCAGAGAGAGCTTTTGGTGGGGTGAAAATCTGTTTCATTCATTTTTCTTTTTTGGATAAGTCAGTAGATCTAATACTATTTCAAAGTAGCATTTGTCTTTGAACTTATATGACAGGTGCAAAAGAGAAGCTAATATCTGCTATCTTCTTTTTCAGGATGACTTTCTGTACAGTGTCTCTGTTTTAAGTGGAATCCTTTGCTCTATCTTGGCAGTGATCAAATTTATGTTGGGAAGGGTCCTCACAAGCAGAGCACTCATAACGGACGGTGAGTAGGAAACTGTGAAATCCCCTTTAAATAGTGTCTCAGTGAATATCATGCAGAACAAAAACGGACTAGAGAACCATGAAGAAAGCAAACTGGTGGATAGTAAAATATTGAGAGGAGGGGAGATGTTTAGTGAGGGACCAGACCAAATACCTGCCTCTGATACTGTTCAGTTCTTGCAAAACATGCAGATAGCTTTCATAGATAATATTCTTTGAGATGACATGAACATCCACTACAGAGAAACGGTGGAGGTGACATTAGTGCAAATGGGATCACAGAGAGAAATCACACAGTGGGATCAACATAGAAACATAGACTGAGTCCATTTGGGGAAATCCAAACAGAACAGATACTTAGTAGGAGGGGAGAACCTAGAAAGCAATAAGAGATCAAAACTCAGGCCAACAGTATGCAGCAAGTGAAAGATGAATTTATGATGTAGTGTAGATAGAAGTAAACAGGTCATTACAAATTTGGCAAAAGCATCAGATTGTGGAGAAGGGATATAATAACATATCTCTATGTAAGTGTGGTCCAAATACACCTGAAGGATTTTTCACACTTAAGAGAAGAATCTGCTTCCACTTGTAGAGTGCATAGGACTTCATTCAGAAAATAGAAAATTTGGAGCATGGGAAGAATGAACCTCCCTCCCAATCTTTGTCGGGAATCATACGTGTCCTCATCCTGCGAGGCAGGTCTTGTTACCAAATCATTCTGCTAAGCTGGCCTGTGCGGAGCTGGTGCCGTTCTCTGATCTGCAACAACTGGAAACTCCAATATACATCTCACACAGTGAAACGACTATAGCGCTGGTACAGCGGGGGGCCTTGTGTGACCCTATTTTCATGGTGAATTTTATCTACTATGAACTTCCAAGAAGGAATATAGTATATTTTTTAATTGATAATGAGCCAGTCCCTCTTGGAGCTTTGGGGGAGTCATTGCTGTTGCTGCTTTCACCAATGTAAGTATAGTCAAATACTCTTAGCTAACAAAGCCAAAGCTTTTAAATCTTCAGAAAGGCCACATAGATTTACTCCGCAAACCAGTGAATCCACAATTATGGTGAGGATTTCATGGGGACCTACAAATCACTACAGGATTTTATCTGTGTATTTATATAGACACCACAGGGTGTTAAATGCTTTATAAATTATGGGAGAACAAGATTTGTTGAGTGAGGTAATATTTTTTATTGAACCAAGTTGTACAATTTGCATAGATGAGACAAGCTTTCAGGCTTCAGGTGCTCCTCATCAGTTCAGTAAGGAAGTGATCCAAGCTAATTACAAATTAGAGCAATTTCTTTAGCCTAATTATGTGTTTAATTTAGCGTAATAAAGCTCATCACTTGCAAGGGAAGTGGGTACTTATCACCTGGGATATAAAGAGAAGTTGGCATAGTTGGGGGTCAAGGTATAATGATCCATAAAACCAATTGTCTCATGAATGGCTTTTTGTTTCTAATAAAATTATGATGTCCATTTTCAGTTCTGTCTTCTGAAGGTATTGTGTAGGTTTTCTCTGAGGACAAGATCTGTCAAGTCAGTGATGGAAAGGCGGTTTTGTGAAAAGTGTTCTCCCACTGGCCCTTTACCGTTTTCTACGGGAGGTCATTCTGGAGCGTCACGGTTGCTCGGTTTCACTAGCATAGTTTCCATGAGGGCATCTAGTACTTTGGCGGAGGTATACAATAGATTGTGACAGGCAGGTGTAGGAGCCGTGATTGCTCATGGTTTTGTTGGATGAGCGTTCATTGTGGTGTTGGTGGATATGTGTTGGCAGGGTTTGTACTTGTTTTGGCACAGTCTGGTTTCTTTTTCTGTTTGACCAACGGAGTTGTTTCTGTAGGTATTGCCAGCTGTCTGAAAGCTAGCAGCGGAGGTTGGGAATTTTTCTTTCAAGGTGTGATCTTTCTCAGGATAAGCTGTAATTGTTTGATTATCTTTCTTATAGGTTCCAGTGTGGGATGGTATGTGACAACCAGGGATGTACGGTCAGTGGGGTTTCCTTTTTGTATTGTAGTAAGCTTTTGTGGGGATTGTGGGTAGCTTGTTCACAGATCCATTTCCCTATGGAGTATCCTTGTTTGGTGAAGCCAGGTGAACTACAGGGTGCAAGTATTCACCTTATAATTTTAATAAATTATAGCTTGGTATTATTTTTGTCCTCTAGGCTTGCATACAGAAGTTCAGGAAGGTTAGGGGGAGGTTAAATTGTGTTAAAAACGCTTACCTGATCTAACTTAATTCGCCCACGTGAGGACCTTACACGTATATCCCTAGTTAGGTCGATCTAAGTGCAAATTAAACAGACGTTCCAGGAAGCTTAGATTGGTCTAAACCTGGCCAACCCAATCTCCGTTAACCCTACCTCTGGGGTAGTCTAACTAAGATCGGGTTGGCCATTTTTAGACAGATCTAACTTTCTTGAACTTCAGTACAGTTCACAGTGCAGCCTGGATCTGGGAAAGTGCAGCCGTTAGCCCGTACCCTGGGGCTGCACT